ACATGATTATATGAGCTGTTTTCACCGAAAAATGATCAGGAGCGCCTTGAAAATGGTCAGATCCGCCTCTCTGGCTGCAATGCATTTAAAAACTCCAAGGACCGACCACAGGAAAAACAAAACCGCGTTAAACTGCTCATATGAGTGCCGCAGAACGGGCAAAACACAACTCGACTGGCTTCCATCTTGGGTCATTATGAACGCTCCGGTATCGGTGTCGGTATCGGTAAGCTTAGAAGACAGTCCCTCCCTTTACGTCGGATTTTGTCAGTCGTAAAAGTGTTTTCTGAAATGTAAATTTGTTTCAAGATTTGTAAAAGTGTTTCAGATTTTGTATTGTTGGTTTGCACTTCCCGGCCACCGTAGAAAACAGCGAGGATACAGGGTTGGCAGGACGAAGCGGAGGAAAAGATATTTATCAACGGTTGTCATGGGAAATTTAAGACCGCTTGATAACATGACCGAGGAGCTCGCAGCTTTAACACGCTTCCAGGGCAGGTACAGAGACACTAGTATCATGTGCCCCACAGAGACATGAATAGATGGACTTGTCCCAGACGCAGTGGATTCCCTGGGTGGCTTTAAACTCATCTGTGTAAAGCAGAGAGTGGAAAAAGAGAGGATGGGGACTGGCGATGTTTGTGAGTGAGAGATGTTGCAACGCGGCTCATGTTTACGTGAAGGAACAGATATGCTCCCCGGAGGTGGAGCTACTCGCGGTGGGCGTGAGACCGTACTATCTTCTACAAGAATTTGGGAGTCCACATCTCCCCCCTACGCAGACATCACAGCTGCATGCGAGCGTATCCACGGCACGGTGACCAGGCTGCAGCACACTCTCCCCTGCTTACATCTGGAGACTTCAATCGAGCCTCCCTCTGTTCGAACCCTCCCTATGCTGACCCAGTATATTAGGTGTAAAAAAAGGGACAAAAAAAATGGACCTTTTAATGCCAATGTCAGATATGCCTACACGTCTGCCTCCTTCCCCTCACTAGGACGCTCGGTTCATAATCTTGTCTACCTGCTCCACCACAACACACCAGTGGTGAGCAGGACAATATTGCAGAAGAGTTCGGTGAAAGTTTGGTCAGAGGAGACCACTGACAAACTGAGGTACTGTTTCAGAACAATAGACTGGAGCATGTGTCAAAGCTTTCATTGGGATGACATCATCAGCCTGACTGAATGAATCACTAACTACATGACCTTCTGTGTGGAGAGCACTGTGCCCACACGACAGCTATGGAGCTTTCCAAACAACCACCTCTGGATGAACCCTGAGCTGAAAGTCCTCCTGAACCAGAAAAAAATGGCTTTCAACTCAGGGGACAGAGAAAAGCAGTGTTGAGTACAGCGAGAGCTCCAATGGAGGATAAGGGTGGCAAAAAATAAATTAAAAAAAGCAGGTTACCATAGGGGCACTACAAAGCAGCGGCCAAGAACAGCTCATCTTGACAATTTCACACAATATGCCGCTTAAAATGATACAAACTAGACTTCAAACCCACATCTATGATCACCAACGCCTGCTGGTGCTACGGTCACTAAATATTTCAAATACTAACATTTTTGACCGTTTAAAAAGCTGCGGAGTGCTATGGACAGATCTCAAGAACACAACAGTGGAACATAACTGCCAAAAGACGGAGAAAGCGAGGATGCAGAGGGGGGGCTAACTGTGAAGCTAAAGAGAAATCAGACCTCCGCTTCCATCAATCCTGCTGGAAAACAAAATGGATAATCTTTGACTGGAACTCTCTTTAAAAAAGGGGATTAGTAATTACTGCG